CTACAACAATTCAAATTTTATATCTTATGCCACCCCATACAAACTCCAATCTTGCATGTGTACACCCATGACTACATGTGCATGTATTATAGGTTACGTTTGGATCCCGTGGAAGGAGAATTCCCTCTTATTTCAGGATAGTCCGCTCAAAAGCTCACTTACGAGCTGTAAAGGAGCTTATCATTGGAGCACGACAGACCACCTTTGGCCACATCCTCCAAGCAGTTGCCCTCCCTGGTGGGGGCAACCACAGAAGCTCCTCTCTCTCTCGGACATGTTTTTATTCATCTTAGCCAAAGTCAATTATTTTATGCATCTTTTAAAGTCAAGCTAAAGGCATATCTCATCCACAAAACATCATTCCTAATCGGATCATCACCGAGCTCATAGATCCATGTTAAGTCATTACTTGCCCCCTCTCACTCAAACTAGACGACATTAGACCAACTTCCTACCCAATGCCGACTTGATCTCCAGATTCCCACAAGTTCACCTTACCTGCCTCTTCTCTCACAAGAGTCGCATAAAAAATTGATAGTACAACTCTTATATTCCGTATGTATTCTACTATAACTCTCCAAGTCTTAAAAATAGGGGGTGGGGAGGCAGACAGAGGAGAAACAAAAAACAGAGAGATATACATAGAGAGATGTTGTGCCAATTTTCCCTTTTCTAGTTTAAGCTCTGCAGGATGGAGCCTTCGCTCTTATTATTGTTTTTCTCTATGAGGGATAATAAATATTCTGTCAAATTCGATCTTCTGTTCTCTTACTCTCTCTCTCTCTCTCTCTCTCTTCATCATCCTCACCTGCTGGCTACAAGTTCTCTGCTCATAGTTAGACTCATAAAGTACGGCTAGACATCATCCACCGAACAAATCTAGATTCAACAACATGCTTAATTTGTTCAATGAGCGAAACATTAAAGTTGATCATCAGTAGTCAACATTTAAGGGCATTTGTTGGTTTTTAAATGCATGATCTTCTAAAACGCTAATGTGTTAGTTGATTTCTGTGTCCTTGTAGCACACACACACAAGATGGTATAAGCAGTACTTATTTTGAGCAGATTTGTAGTGTGTATAATGTACTTATTTTGTTTAACATATTCTTTACTTAAATATGGAATACTGATTTAGAATGTTATATATATTGATGAGATAATTTTCTTATTAGTTTAAACAATTCTACTTTATATTTTTTATTTTTGAGATATCATTTTTTTAGAAGCACAATTGATTTACTGGGAATGAATTTTTATTTAACTGCGAATAATGTAAAGCTATATTGCAACGATATGGGCATAGTGAAATGGACACGATAGGACATGATTATGATGTAGACACGACATTATAATTTTTAAAGTATGCCTTAAAATTAAGAAAACAATCAAGGCATAACATTTAAAATGGCAAAAAAATAATAAAGCAATATCATATTCAGTCTTGTAGCTTATAATATCAAATTAAAATTAAGTATAAAATGTCTAGCATAGAATGTCTTGTAAATATTCTATCAAAGAACTCATGGCAAATGAAGCTTTGAGCTTAAACAAGAACTGGTTATTTTTCTTCATCCACTACTTCTAAGTTATTACTAGTTTGCCTTTATTTTTAACAATAGCTGGTATACTTCACTAAATTAATCAAACAACCGGAAAATGTGAAAGAGATTTGATGAGAAAGCTATATGTACTTTAGCCCAAAAACCTTTTACAAGTTCTAAATAAAATACCCAGCATAAAGTTTACAAGTCTGTTTAAGTAAAACAAAAGGAGGCACTCTAACACATGATACTAAAGCATTAAAAAAACAAGCATCATATCCCACCTTTAACATAGCATTTAGAAACTTTCCAATCAAACAAGTTTGATTACTAAGCAGGCTTGTAAATACAACATGCAACAGAATACCTTTAGAGGTCGGCAATTGCTTGCCTTCCTTCTTGTAGTACTCCCTCATCGACACCAGTGTCTTGCCTCTAAATTCCAGAACGTATCCATCTTACTCGACAATTGCAAGAAAGATAAACCCTCAATATCACAAAATGAAGAAGACGACGTTCGTCTATCCTCATATGCTTGTGGAATGAAGAAGAAGACGAACATGAACCTTGAATCTCTTGTTTACCTTATCTGCCTTCGAAAATAAACTCCTTCGACGAATATGCATGCTCCTTTTGCCTTCCCTGTTGGCGTATTACCCTCCTTCGGCCTCTCCTACTTGTAGAAATGAAGTACTTCGAATACAAAGTGATACAAGCTTTTTTAGGCTTGTTTTATTTAATTAATATATAGTTTTCATTAATTAATAGGACACACATGTCTTATATGCGTATCCCTTTTAATTTAAATATTATTTTAATATGACACATTTTTGCCGTGTCCGATACTTGCATGCCTTCATAAGTAAGCATATTAGTGTATCTTAGATGTAAAGCGAACATTATTAAGAGAACACCTCAACGAGGTCATCATGCCTAAATAAAATAAAATATACATAGAAGCATCAATTCTAATACAAGCAACACAAGTGTAAACTAAATATGATATATGGCCTATGTTTTGATGTCTAGGAGGTATAATAATTGTGCTTGGTGTGTAATGCTTGGGGAGTACAGATTGGCCTATCATATAGTTGATGTTATTGCCCTCCTTCCATCTTCTTGTTGTTGTTGAGTCCTTGTACTCTGGCTAGATTGAGCCAAGGAATGTGGTTATTGTGGTTGAATAAGAAAAGCATCCAATGTTTCTTCATGTATGGTGAACTAGTTGGGACTATTCAAGGGCCCTTCCAGATTGGTGAGGAATAGAAATACTGTGTAGATGTGAATAACATTTACTTCTTGAGTGGAAAAAACTCCACACCAGTTAAATAGAGGTCCAAAGAATGGCATGGAGTGCCGTACGATGAACTTATCATTTCGAATGAATCTTGTGACACCTAATGGTTCCCCAAAGTAGGTGTGCTTATTGTTGGACAATGATTTATGTGAACTGATGGACCTGCACCTCCAACCATCGATAATGGCTCATCTTCATCATAATTGTGTTCTCCTCCATGTCTGTAATTTATGATGTGCATGCTGCGCCTCACATCAGTACAAAGAGCCTCAACGTGTTGATAGTCGCTTGCGATGTTCTCCTCACCATAATTGAACATTGGCTGTAGTAGCTCCTTAGTCGCAAAATATGCATATAACATTGATATATATCATTTTACATCGTCTATAATTCTAAGGAAGGATTAGACAATCCTAATGCAACAAATATTCAAAAGATCTTTCACAATTTCTCTTATGACTGCGATTAGCTATAATTTAAAATTAAGATAATTTTCAAGCTAATAAGATGATTATATTTAATTAAGAATGGATATAAATAGGTTTGATGTGTGATTATAATCATAATAGTAATATTTAAATGAAAGTTTTTGGGAGCAACTTTAAGATTAATGTTGAGTGATGTAATAGAAAGTTTGAAGTGAGTCAAGTGACACAAATTTGAACTCATATTATGTCATGCACACATAGTATCAAGGAGAATCCAATATTATTAGATATTGGCACATCGACAATTATGTAATCACTACATAATTTAATTGGGTCATCTTAATCATCATATATATCTCTGATTAAGCAACCATTATAAGGTGATTGAATGCATAATCCTGCAAATCTACAGCACCGACATGACCTACGTTTTGACTATATTTAAGAACATGAGTTCTACAATAGTTATGTACATGATATGACAATATTAATTTAATGAGATCATAAGCAGTGATGCAACATGATGTTGGTATGAATATATTATAATCTCTAATTAATTTTACTTGTCCAAAGTAACAAACATTGAATGCCTATAAGGGTTCTAACCCTCTTTTAGTATCCATGAATAGCAAATTTTATATTAAATGAATAAATGTTAAATAAAAAAACATTTAAAAAATTCATTTATCCAAAAAATGTTTCAGCATAAAAAATTAAAATTATTTATGATGTTTTATACTCTCAAATTATAAATAATTCTCTATGTTATTTAATTTAATAGAAATAAATAATTAATAGCTTTATATAAAAATAATTGATTAAAATGAATATATATATAAAAGCAAAAAAACCTGAATTCAAATATTTGAAGTTAATATTCAAAATTACTAAAGAATTTGAGAAAATGAAAAAAAAAAAAACATAATATTAAGTATCGCACATAAAATAATAAAAATAAAAATAATAAAAATAGTAAGTTGTCATGCGGGAAACTTATTTTTCATGTGGTGACTTTGTCTTTTTTGATAAGTATAGTTTTACCCCCTTTTTTGATACTTAATTTATGTAATTCGATTTTAAAATTTTGCTTTGTTTAAATATGTTTGCCTGCATGATATCAGATTCAAATGAATCTTTTGTCTTGTTTCTTGAGAATCTTCACTTTTCCTTTGATTTAAATGACCTTTTTATTTTGTCACTGAATTGCATATGCATACTATTCTGTGCTTGTATATACCGAAGCCAACGGACCATTAAATTTACATGATATCTTACCTCAGATTGTCTAGTAATCTATTTCAGTTTGTTTACTATAGTTTCTTTTTGCCATTTGCATCATAATATTTGTTGTGTTTATTGGTTGTTGTATTTGTGCATTATTGGGGGGAGTATGCTCTGCTCTTTGGAGATGCCGTATCTACTGCGGATTAAACTTGTTATTAAATTATAATCATGTTTCACAAGCTGCAACTTTAAGTACATAGTTCTAGATATAAATTTCAATCTTGGATTTACTTAAAATACTCTTAATAACATGATTCAAAGGGTGCTAGGCCCTTGTTATATGCTGCTTAATTTCAAATTTAGTTCTCTGTTTTGTTATTTGTGATGCTCATTAACGAGTGTGTATGTACTTTTGTAATAGGTATTACATGCTCTAACTTGAACATTCTGGAATATCATTTATCATATTCATTGAGTCAGCCGAGGTCAAGCACACGACTGTATATAATGACCTACAAAGGTCCTGGCTCATCATCTGTGGAAATTTCCATTAAAGATGTGACAAGGTTTTTTGTCCGGACTGCTTTTTTATTCTCTCGGACTTTGAATTTTTCCCTTTCTTTTTCTTATCATGCTATTTTGAAACTTTGTACATGACTACTTCATGATCATCTCCAATATGTACTTGTATTTCTCCTGATCCATATTTTTTAATTAAATCTAGACTTCTAAAGAGCTAATCCAGCTGTTTTTTTAATATTTTTGAACATCTACATTCATGGTATCTTTACCACTAACTAGACTAGAATTTGTCTCAAGCTTGCGTGGTCCGCCAGTTAAGTGCAGCAGCTATGCTATGAAACCGGAAATCACATCTGTTGCAGAACACTATTGTCTATTGCCATACATTGACATCATAGCTGAATGGTCGACTAGGTAAGTTAGTCTTCTCAATCATTATAGAATGCTGGTGTTTCAATGGAGGCTTTTTCAGAGAATGATGGTTTATGCTGTACCGATATTTTTCCTAATTGTTTGGTGTTTTTGTGTAGGAAAACATCACAAGGTGATTCACCACATCTACTGAAAAACAATGCACTGACTAAGTACTCTGGCTCTCCTTGCATCGCAACTAATTACCAAATCAATGTTAAATCTGAATCGACTAATGGTGCTTCTGACTATCTTTCCTTGCATTCATCGTGTCAGAAGGTTGTCATGGGTGAGAAATCTTATTATTGTGTTTACATTCGTCAAAACGACAATAATGTTAGTACATCTACATATAAGGAATGAGTATTTTCATGTGTGTATTTAGAAGTCTTTCACATGTACAGGCTTTATCATATGCTAGTATACAAAATCTGAATATATGAAGATGGGATTGTCGGCCTTACCTTAGTGTTAGCTTCATTATTGTAATTGTAGTATCCCTTTGAACATGTAAACGTTATTGAAAAGTCAAATAATGGGTGATCTGTTTGCACAGAACATGGGAGGGACAAATTTGACAAGAAGAAAATGAAGTTAGGATATGAAGTCAATGAACTATCCGAAGATTCTTTTCAACATAGGACTAGAAGCTTATCCTTTCCTGATGGTAGTGGTTCTAGGAGTCAAAGTGTCATTTCAAATAACTTGATCCGCAAAGATGAAAGCACTCATAGCAAAGGTGATTTATGTTTAATTCGTGATGGCTCAAAAGATCAGGTAAGCTCATATGGATTGCTTTTTGTTCTTTCTGATTATTTTTTATTTCTTTTTGTTTAGTTTGTGTTCGTTGAAAGGAGAGATGGTTGGCATCTCCCCAGATAGAGACAGGAACAACCTTTGGGATTTTTCTGTTACTGATCATAGTTTTGTTTTAACATTTCTTACAGGCATTATTAAACTTATGTGTTTCGTAGAATATGAATTCAGATGAAGCACATTTAATATTTATCTTTTCCAGTGAAGTGTTTTTGCAGTAATATTGTTTGATACTTGGTAATAATGAATATGAACTGGTTGTGTAAACATTGATTGCTTCTTTGTTTTTTCTTCAAGTTGATTTTTGCTATTGCAAATGTTATAAAATATTCTTTTATCTGTGTTGATTAAAAATAATAATAAATAAAAAATTCGAACAACTTCACGAAGCAACAAACTTGCCTCCATCAGCCCCACCTCGCGCGGTATATTCCCAAATGACTCAATGGTTCTTTCATGTAACTTCCCTCACGACACAAAAAACGCCAGCCCGCTCCTCCCTTCTATATAGTTGACTCCTCTTCTTCTAAATTATGAGCTATCAACTCCTTATCTTTATGCATCGCATTATAAATGAAACCTGTAGTAGGTTTTTTCTCCGCATTAACAATTCTAAAGCCTTTACCAAGGGCTTAGTTCTTTCTATAGTGTAACCCACACTTAACAAAAACTTATCATTTAAAACAATTTTTTTGACTTGTCTTTTGGTTTCTTGGCTCAAGCACAATTTAATCATTCTGTGTAGGTGAACATAGCCTCCAAACACTACATTGCTTCAAGGATGCTTTGTAGAGTCATGTAGGCCATTGCAAAGCTAGTTATAGTTTATCTCAAAAGTTGTTTTTAAAGAAAACTTTCTCATTAAAGTCAAAACCCACAGTGACGAACTTCCTGATCTTCTTGGCTTTAGTTAAGACTTTCCTGTGCCGAGGCAAGGATTAAGCCTATAGAATGTGTCTCACATCAATACATATGTTTCATCTTCTCCATCCAACTTATTTCTTGCTATCCTGAAAGCATTAACATTATCAATAATAACTTGTACCACTAAATGCTCTCTAATTTTTTATATGACTATCGATATGTTAAAAAATGTACTTCGGATCATTTGTTATATATATGTATATATATGTACGTAGATACATACATATACATACATATATAAACCTTCTTTTATTGTAATCCATTTTCTATAATATTTAGAACTTAATTTAGATTTATCATTTGTATAAATTATTTCATTTACATCTATTAACTTTAAATTTAATATAGTTATATATGCATACAGTTTTATATTCAAGTATTCTATATTTTATTTAATTACAATTTCTTAATTTAATTATAAACAAAATTAATCCCTCATAATAAAATTATCAAATATAGGCAAAATAAATTTCCAAATTTAAAACTTTAGTAGAATATTTTTATCATGTCTTAAAATTTTGAAACAACATTTTAAAACTTTTTTTTTTAAATTTCGTAGCTATGTATAATTTTTTCTTCCTCTTGGTCTTGGTCTTTTTCCTTCTTATAGAAACCCTAGGTAATCCTAGGAATTTCTCTCAAGGCTTAAATTGGGTCTAGGAAACATATAATGTGAAAGGAAACTTACCTCTTTGTTTGAGGAAGACAAAAAATGAAAAATCTTAGCTTTGCAATATTGAAATAATCTTCTTTCAATGTTGGCAAAACTTACCCGGCCGGGTCTTGCCCTATGCACAGGAAGTCCTCTCTTGATCTTCCTCTCCACATGCATATGCATGGTGCTAGCGCACTGCTTTGGCCTTGCTTGACCACACTTGCCCTACCTCCACTCGTCGATGACTTGCTTGCCTCATTGCTCTCTGTTTCATCTCTCTCACTCTATTGTTCTTTATTTCCTGCTCTCCACTCTCTCTCTCTCTCTCTCTCTCTCTCTCTCTCTCTCTTTTATATACATTTAAGTTGATGCAACTTCTATTAGTCAAATGATAGATGTCGATTTACATTGAAGATTATGATATCTATATATTTATTATCAATTAAATAATAACAATACCATCATTATTATTATTTTAGTTCTTTGAAATAGATTTGGGTTTTTTAATTAATGCTTCCTTCAGCTGATCCGTTGCTTCAACAAACTTTAAAAAATTAATATTGTAGGGTTGTTAACTAAAATGTTGAACATGCTTATATTTCTAAGATCAGATCAACCATCATACATGTTAATAACTCTAGTCTATGTCCAAATTCTCTTAATCTCCTAAATTATTTTCTCAATGTTGTTCAACTCCTTTAATATCGAAGTCCTGAGCTCATACATAGGCGTAGTTTTAAGTCCTCAACCATTGGAAACTATAAAATGAATCATGTTGACTTAAAGAGTGAAAATTTCCGCATTAAATGGAATAGCATTTTTATTAAAAAAAAAATCTTATAATGTCTGTACGGACATGCTTGGGAGCTTCTTGCATTTTGAGACAATCGATGAGTCACCCTCCTATCATCTTCCACATTCATCATCTATTGGTTTATAAGGTTTTCTTGAGCCTTTATTTGATATTTGTGGCAAGGAAGATGTTTTTGCCACTATGCTCATTGCCATAAAATGACCCGTTATCAACTTTGTTATTATATTGTCATTACATTGAATCGTTTGACTTGGTCGTTGTATTCATGTTAGAATGAATCTCATGTTTCATCTTCTCTAGCACTTTGGAACACGGTGCAATATTCTCAAGAGAACTAGGAAAATATTCCTTTAGTATTGTCACATCACCTTTAACAACCATATCAATGAAATTGCATTTCAAATAAACATACATGTTCTCACTCCCTTCAGTTTTCACTTGCACACTATTTTTTTATGTCGGATCTTTTTATATCCAATTGTACTTTTCTCTTTGGCTCAAACCATTCTAAAAAAAATCTTAAAATGAACATTGTAGTTTAAAAAGAAGTAATATATAAATGCTCTGAAAACAGTAAACCTTAAATAAACAAAGAAAAATATTTAGGTTTTGGAAAGAAAAAGTCTATTATTTCTACTAAGAAGTGATGTGATGGTGGAAGAGGAGATGCTATGGAGTTAGAAGGCTTGGCAAGAAGGGCCTTGACGTGATGGTGGAAGAGGAGATGCTCTGGAGTAAGAAGGCTTGACAGGAAGGGCCTTTGGCTTTGCGGGAAGGTGACAACAGTGGTGGAGACATTGTAGGAAGGAGGTGGTGGCATGCGGTTGACGTGTGTGTATGAGATAGAGAATCAAAGGATCGAGGAGAAGAATCAAGCAATAGATTGAATTTTATATTTTAAGAAATAATAAAAGGAGGTTTTGGTAAATTTATTTTATTTCTGATTATTTTTGTTAAAGCTTCCCAAACATTTAAATAAGTTGTGCACGGCTCTTCATTGTGCATCACAGATTATGAGGCATATGCCTCAGATAAGTGACCATGAGTTCTATGCCTCATGGAGAAATTCCCTAGAAGGTACTGAGATGCACCTTGTATTGCATAATTTTAAACAATGTGTAATTCATATAATTTATTTCATGCAACTCTTCATAATTATTATGCACATGATTGTAAGGCTTCTAGAATCTATATTTTTGGGTTTGTTGGGTCTAGCATGATTTATTTTCTTAATCTTTCTTATTTCTTATACAAGATATTGACCTCCTTCAATCATAATTTATGATTGAATAAAAAATACAATACAAGAACCAAGCTTGGGATTCCTCCATCTGTCTTTAATGACTTGGTACAAATAAAGGTTTCTTGCCTAAAAAACTATGCGTTGACTTTAATGGTGAAAAATTTGTGGGATTTAAGTGAAATCATTTTATATATGTTTGACCTTATGCTACATATCATTCTGAGTTTTGTTTAACATAGTTCTGAACAAATTTTTGTACTCTTTATGGTGCGTCACTACTAAGTTGTTATGTTTGCTTATTGCACAGTGCCACAATCTTACTATTTTGGTTGATCTTGCTGCGTTAGCTTGGGCAATATCTCATCTTAAGAATGTTAGGTTGGTTATGAAGGGGAATAAGAAATTTAAAGATATAAAAAATTAAAATATTCCATTGAATATTAAAAAAAAAAGAGAGAAGGAAAATTAAATAAAATAAAGGGTAAGGAAAGAAATTAAGAGATATCACATGTTTCACGCAATTATTTCATTTAAATAATAATAGTAGGATGACATCATCTATCAACATTGATTTTATCTCTTATATTGGAGCTATGATTTTGTGCAGACACCAGACGGTTCTCCTATCCGGTTACACGCTCGGTACCGAGCGGTACCGAGCGGTACCGAGCTCGGTACCTAGTGCGGTACATTTTTGAGGTGACGTGGCGCATTTTAATTGGTCTTCGGATGCCGTCCGAACTCCGCGCAGAATAATAAATCCTTATATTGGCCATAGAGATTCTTATAAAAGATATTCAAAGTGAAATAGCTTGATTTTTTTTTTTTGCATATAATGTTTCTAATAGGTGAGGCATTTGATGTCATAAGGGGAAAGTTGGAGAAATGGGGGAAATATTTAGAAGATAATTGACTTGAAGTTAGTTGAACAAAATTTTGAGATTATTGTGTGTAGTTTTTATTGGTGTGATGTTGACAATTAGCAATGTTTATTATTAAAAAATAATATTATGTTTAGGTTTGATATGTTTAACTATATTTGCTCCATTATGTTGAAGAATTGAGATATAAATGACGAGAAGTACTTTAAGAGTATTATGCGATAAAATGATATCATGGGAAGCTAAAGGTAGAAAAAATTATAATAAAAAAGGTTACCTTTGACAAAATTACAATTACACTTGTTGTATTAATTGATCTGATTGGTGAAAAAATTAGATGCCATTGATGACTAAGTTGAGTTTGGAGGAAAAGAGAATTTTATGATAGATTTGTGGCTAAACTAGGAAGGGTAATTGAACGAATGATTATATTAAAGAATAAAGACACAATAGAGTGGTATTTTGAAGATACAACACTTGAAAATTGATGCATGTGATTTGGAATTTTACGACAAATGATAGATAAATTCGAGTCATAAACTTAGTCACAAACCTTCTTTTTCATACTGTCGTTGCTCCACTTCACTCTAAACCTCACAGCCGATTACTTCCTCCACAATCTCCCTGTACCGATGCTGTCTACAGTGTTCAAAACAGTGCGCCGAACTCAACAAATCAGCCAGTATTCAGAGCAGCAAATTGCTACATTGTTTTCTGCGAAATTACTTCAATTCTGCAGCACTGTGCCGCCTCTTGCTACAGTAAATTCTAAGAACAAGGCTACAAGACCACAACACTATACCGAACTTCCTTCTGTCTGCACTGTGCCGCATTCTTCTTACCCATAGACTTCCATGAAAACCAAGCAGATAAGGATCAAACAAATGAGTTAAATGAGGGCCCACAAGGAAACTGCTAACTGCCTTCATCTCTTCATACCTCTTAGAAACCATCTATTCAAAATAAAGTACATCTAATAATCTATTTTACTTAAATTACTAAATCATTTTATCTGTAAATATTAATTCAATAGACATTTATTATCTAAGCTTAAAATTAAAATTTACAATATTTTTAATTAATTTACATACCTGCTTGGGTCTTACAGGTGCCCAATAAGGAAGTCTCGGAAGCAATTGTCTTTGATTTTCTTCAGAATAGAAGAGATGATATGGTATTGAAATTTGCATGTTCTTAAAAAAGAGTTTTATCCCCCCCAAAAGTTTTCATTATCTTAATTTAATTTTATTCAAAAAGATTAATTTTGGTGCAGAGGAAACAAATAAATACTTCATCTTATTTTGTAGTGTTGCCAGCATCGACTGTTGGAGGATTTCATTGCTCAGTGTGAGATGCATATCCAGTTAATGATAAATGGTATGTCCCCTCTTCTTGGATCTTTTCTTTGGCTATTTTCCTAAGCTGCAAAGTTGAGAAAAATCTCAAAGTCTGTTCATTTTCATTTATTGAAGTCTAAGATGCTTATGTATAAATTTTACTTGAATATACCATATTATTTTTTATGTCATGCTTGATTATAAAATATTTCAAATCTATTAAGAATAGAAAAGTTCTCCATCAAGCTTTCAGTGAATGCTCTTGCATTGATGTCATTTTGGATGCCATTTTATTGATTTAAGTTTAAATTTTTCGTTTAACTGTTAGATTACCATCTACCTGGCACTATAATGGCTGCCTTAAATGTCCAATAGCAATTATAAAAAGACCTTCATTTCATAGTCTGGTGGAAAAAGCTTGAGAATAATCAAAACCCAAAAATTTTGAAGATAAGTTAAATTTTGGAATCTTGACCTAAAAGAATTTGTAGCATCCGTTGGAACATAGTGGGTTGAAACACCTCATTATATTGTGCGTCAGGAGTAAATGTTCGTTGTTATCACAATACAGACTTTTGTTTTGTGACATAACGAACTGTTTTTATTATAAGGCACATTGTATGGAATATGCTTTCTGTTCAGCCCTGGAAGCTACATAGAAACTTCTTTCTTGACGTATGCTCATTCTAGGCTTCATAGAAGTTGAAACTCTGCAATGATGCCATGGGTTACTGAATATATAGGCCTACAGAACTTCACCAGAAGTCCACACAAACTCAAAATCAGGATGTAACAAAAATTGATCTCTCTTTTTGACTAAAACAACCTTTTGAGCTGGAATCAAGCTGCCTTGGTATGAACCTGTTAAGGCAAAGTTACAACATCTAATATGTTGCGGGTCTAACAAATAGTCTTTGGAAGTGATCTACGTGGAGTTGCATATTGTTTTTATTTCTTAGTTTTCTCATATGTACGCTATATTTTCTTGAGAGAGATCCTTCTATAAGATGCCTTAACTTCCAGTAGCAAGCTTTCATTGTTTGAATAACATCTCCATCGTGTTTTCAATGTAATCATAATTAGAGAGGTTTGTTTGCAGCAATGATTAGGTTGCTTCATTTTGTATATAGTTAATGAGATTGAATCAAGGAAGCGGTCTATCTGGAGTATAGGGATAATCTTGTACACACTTGGGGAATCTCATGCGTTGACCATATTTTCTCATCTTCTAGATTGTAAATTTGTGGAATTTGAGTTTTGTTTTGTTGATATTGTTGATATTTGACCTTTGTTAGCTTGATTTGATTAGGAGAAAACCAGGTCTCACACCCTGAGGTAATAATGAAGGCATCTGATTTTCTACTCTCAAGTAAAGCGAACAGAGGCACCTGTTTATTTGGTGAAGTTCAGTTGCAACCACATGATATCAGGAAGAGACTTCTTGATGCAGATCTTCGTTTGAGGAGTTCGTGTAAGGTGACTGTATGATGGATCATCTGGTCTCTCCTGCTTATATCAATAAAGTGATTCGAAATGTTGCCTATTTTATTAATGAGTAATAAATCATTATTACCATTTGGATTTGAGTAGTTGAATTTTAATTTTCCATTTATTTCTGCTGCATGCTCCATCAGTATCTATGTTACAGATCAAAGTAAATTTAAGAAAACCATGCATTTCAACCATGGACAAATATTATGAATGTTGTGTAATGGAACATGCTGATTAATGTTATCGTAAATCGTAATCTGCATATTTTGGCATCAAAATTTTCTGTCTTGCGGCTTTTTCCTGAGCATGGATGTTTAACACCACGTAGGTTTTTTTGCACTTCATTTTGGTTAAAAGTGATCACTTATGCGGTCCTTTTTGAACAAAAAATGTGGAGTTAGGTGATAGAGCTTAGATCTCCTTTTTTGTGGTGTATGTTAATGTAGTAGAAGGCTATTGGAGGGGTTGTAGGATAGGAAGAAGAAAAAATTGTGGGGGTTTTTTTAGAGGTGGACAAGAGTTATGTGAGGTGTGGAAGTATTTTGTGGGCTTTGGAAAAGGAGTGGAGTTTGTGCTAGGATGATTTAAAGATGTTTTTATATTTATTATGAGTGCATTGCAAGCTACTTTATATTTTTATGATTTTTAACTAATTGTTTATGAATTTTTATTGACTTCAATGACCTTAACATCCTATATAAAAATAGAGATTTTTGTTTTTATCCTCGTATTAGTAAAACCGAAGTTATAGAGGCTTTAAAGAAAATAAAGTGTGAAAAAACCCAAGGTTTAAAATTGCGTAAATAAGCCTCAAGATGTTTTTCGTCCGTGAGGCGAGGTGTAAGTCTCGTAGCGGTGTGAGGTGTAAGCCTCACGGATGAAGAATTGCATAAATGAGAATTTAAGTATTATAGCAGGTAAATAATAGTAAGAGTCTATTATATAATAAAAAAATCTAAATGAGAAGTGATATTAGTGGAAAACAATAAAATAGATGCAATATATGCATTTCATAGCATAGTTCAAAGTACAAAATCACAAATATAAGTCTATCAAAACTCCCAAAGTATAAATAAAAAAGAACATCTAAAATCCAATCATGTCCCATCACTAAATGGGCATTCAAGGGAATCTTCTTCTCTAATTGTATTTATGAATGTCAAATCTTCATCATCTTCAATGTTACCCACTTTTCTCTTCCATGTTCAATAAGAATGATTAGTGTGATGTTAATTGCATATATTTAAAATGTAATAGCACATAAGAAATTGTGAGATACATTTGTTTGCTTGTTATGTTGCAGTACTATTAGATGTTTGTGTTGTGATACTAGTGGATGTGCTCGCTTGATCTGTTTTGCCCCTCAAGACATCCATACTTAGATTTTCTAGCTGTAGGTTTGATAATGACAAATCTGTCTCATCATCTATGAACCATGTTCGACTCTTTCTACTGTGTATAGTGGAGGAAGAGTCTTTGCCACTCTCGCTCCCGTAGTAAGCATCACTTTCATCAAATTGCCCATGTTGTAAATGTTTGGCCGTAGTACTCTTCTTAATGTAAACAGTAATTTCCTCCTTCATCTTATCCGGCACATTCGCACAAGGTGCTACATTTTTATGTGAGTTGGATAAGTATTCCTTCATGCGGGTAACTCCTCCCTTCAGCACCTTATCACAAAACTTGCATTTTAAATACACATGTCTTCTGACTGCCTCCTACGTCAACCTGTACACTGTAATTCCAAGAAGGGTCCCGTCGCAATGACATATTTGTCTTTTCCTTGCTCTTAATCATGTTTTCTAATGCACAAATGCAAAAACCTTAGATTTTCTATAACTTGAAAAATCTTATCTTGAATTAAAAAAATACCTAAAATCGATAATGGAGTTGTCGTAGAGGGTAGCCGGACATTAGAAGCTCACCGGAGTGAGGGGCGCCGGTGAGAGAGATGTCGGGAAGGGAGGCCGAGCGGAGCAATGTTGCGGAACATGGATTGCGGAGAAGTCGTCCGTTCGGTTCGGGTAGGCCGAATGCAAGAATAGAGGAAATAGGGTATTTTAATTAGAAACTTAAGTTGGTGGGACCCGGCATCATGAGACGTGCGCCTCACATAACATTGTGCAATTAAGCCTTAAAGGTGCGCCTCATGGACCCTGAGGCGTAAGCCTCACGTGCACCCAAAATTGCTTAAGCAATGAAGCTCTTGTGGGACAAATTGCGCAGAGGCGCGCCTCTTATTGCGCAATTTTAAATTATGGAAAAACTGTTGGATCTGATGATATTTCAATAAAGGTGTGGAAATGCTTAGGAGATGAAGAAAATTCTTGTCTTACTAAACTTTTAAATATTATTTTGAATACTAAAAGATGCCAAATGAGTGGAGTGTTGGTTCATATTTTTAAGAATAAAGATGATGCACAAAAGTGTGTGAATTATAGATGAATTAAGTTAATTTGTCATACATTAAAATTATGGGAGAGAGCTATTGAGCATAGGTTATGGCGTGATAATAATGTTTCTAAAAATAAAATTGGATTTATATCGAGTAAATCTACTTTGGAAGCTATACATATATTGAAAAGTTTGATGGAGAAATATAAGAGAATAAGGCGGATCTTCATATGATATCTATGCTTTAGTGAAAGCATATGATAAAGTTTCAACAGAATTGCTTTGAAAATTTTTAGCAGGACAGAGTTTGCAAATTGGGAGATTAGGAGGTTTATGGATGACGAGAGAAGGTTGGGCCAAATGAGTGGGGCTGAGGCTGGATGGAGCGAGAGAGGTAGGAGGTTATCTTTAAACTCTCGGATTCAAGTTTAGCTCTTATGATTCTTCTCTTCTCATATATAACAAGTCCAATGTTTCCATCTATTTTCTAGTTTACGTAGACGACATTCTTCTCACTGGTAACTCTACAACGGCTATCAACGATCTCCTTCATAATCTAAATACTAAATTCAAAATGCGAAACCGTGGATCCATTTCGCAAGCCTGTCTCTACTCTATCCCAACTTACAATCTCTTTTACCTCAGCCAACTCATCCGCTTTTTCTAATCCTACATTCTTCCGTCAGTTAGTGAGCTCGCTACAATATCTAACTCTCACCAGGCCTGATATCTCCTTCGCTGTAAACAAAATATGCCAACATATGCAAAACCCTCAAAATAGTCACTTTGGAGCACTCAAATGCCTTCTCTGATACATTTAAGGTATGCTTCATACTGGTCTAACACTCTTTCGTGACTCTTTTCTTCTTAGATCCTATGCATATTCAGATTGGACTAGCGATTCGACCGATTGAAAATCCATCTCATGCTACTACAACTACATCAGATCCTCTCTAATATCATGGACCGTGAAGAAATAAAATGCGGTTGCTAGATCTTCCACAGAGGCCGAGTATTGAGCCCTTGTCGCAGCTGCTGCAGAAGTCATCTGGCTTAGTTGTTTACTGCAAGACTTCAATTGCTCCCCCACAGCCTCTACTCCTTTGTTTTGTGTCAACACGTATGCTATTGCCTTAGCAAACAACCTGGTCTTCCATGTCCGGACGAAGCACATTGAAGTCGACTGTCATTTCATCAGGGAATGCATCAAAGATAAAGCTATCACAGTTCATCATATTTCCACCAGAGACCAAGTTGCCGATATCTTCACCAAGCCTCTTTCAATTTCTAGGTTCAAACAACTTGCAACCAAACTAGTTACATCTTCAGCTGCACCAGTTTGACGGGGCCTTTTAAGACATACTCCACATCAACATTTTATGTTCAAGATATATTTGTATAAGGATATATTGACTTATTTACACGTGTAGCTTTAGGAGTAGTCCTTTGTATTTTCACGTCTATTTATATCGTTGTATCTCTTCTCTGTTCAAGATGAATGATAACTGTCAAAATCTTAATCATCGCTTGGCACTTGATCCTATGGTCAGGATGAGAATCCGTGGGAGGCTCACCTGGATCACGCCAATCTTCTTATATATTTGGGTGGATGAATTAGGAATGATTATATTTAGGCAATTATGTATCAATTAGAAGTTCTTTATTTCTTTATTAAGAATGACACAAATGCCCTTCCGAGCTACATAAGCGACTAAATGCCCATAAGGGCAAAAGTGGAAAAAAATCAAAATAAATACGCTACTACATAAAATGACAAAATACAAGTCATGCTCGTGGCCGTCGATCTCCAGCGTCGAAAATGCTGACGATGTCCTCATCACATCGCTTGGCACTTGATCCTATGGTCAGGATGAGAATCCGTGGGAGGCTCACCTGGATCACACCAATCTTCTTATATATTTGGGTGGATGAATTATGAATGATTATATTGAGGCAATTATGTATCAATTAGAAGTTATTTATTTCTTTATTAAGACATATTGTATAGATCTCTAAATATGGATAATTTTGTATAATAATAAGAAGCATATTTTTTCCTCTAAAATTCTATGGATTCTAACATGGTATCAGAGCCAACAACCTTCATTGTCGTTGTGGAAAGATCATAAATCATCAAAGGAACAAAAAAAGAAGAAATTGAAAGCCTTGCCGAAGACAGAAGCCCTAGACGACATCCCGATCCAAGTATCATAACTTCCAATCTGACAGGAAGGAGAGGTCGTCGAAGGAGCGAAGTCGAACAACCACGAAGGAGCCGAAGAAGCGACGCACCCAAAGCCAAATAACATCAACCTCGAAGGAGCGTAGTCGAACAGCCACGAAGGAACCGAAGAACAGACACGTAGTTGAACAGAGCGTCGCTGAAGAGGTTATGTTAGACCCTCATTGTCGCTGAAGCTTGTACGCTGTCTCCGTCTGTGACTCTGGAATTTGGTCGGCGTCGAATGAAGGCAGTCCGAATGGGCCATCACAGGTTTGTTCATCGCCGTCGACTCGTCTTGAGCATAGGAAGGACGACGCGTGAGGGAGAAGAGGAGACGAAGCTGAAGGACTTGAGCAGGCGGAACCGG